AACCCCCCCCCACCCTCCACCCCCCTCTCATCGATCAACGAGGCAAGATCGGAATCGCGTGAGGGCATAATCACGCAAGCACTTTCTTGAATGCATTTGACTGCAACTAAGACCAGATTGAGTCCAGAAAAGTCCACGTGTGCGTATGGACTCGTCAGATTCATTCGTACATCCCGACCGACTTCATCCAAATCTCTTCATCACACACAAACTACCTCCACCATCCCATCACCCACAAGCTTTCTCCACCCTAATCATCTTCTCAATTAACAATCAATCAAGACAATCATCATCTCTAATCAACACAATCATCATCATTATCATCTCTATCTAATCAATCAAGATAATCATCATTTCTCATCAACACAATCATCATCTCGATCATCATGATTATGGCCAACGCTCGCCATCATCATCATTACCGTCTCTCGTAATCCTCCTCCTCCTCCTCCTCCTACTCCTCCTCCTCCTCATCATCATCATCATCATCATCATCACCACCATAACCACCATCATCATCACCATTACAAGCACCTTTACTCATGATTATTATCCTCCCGCTACCGCCATCGTCATCACCACAGCATCATCATAATCATCGCCCACGACCACCAGAACCAGAACGACTCCTCGTCATCACCATCATCATTATTGTCATCTCATCATGATCACCATCATCATCGTCATCATCCTCGCCGTCTCCACCACCATAATTACCAGTATATCATCATGATACTCATCCATAACCATCATCGATCACCACCCCCATCATCACCATCCCGCCATTATCGTACTCATCATCACCCCATCAATCCATCACCCCCACCATCATCATCACCATCGCCATCATCATCACTCCTGTTCATCATCTTCATCATCACCCTCATCAGCACCGCCGTTAACAGCATATCTCTCATCGTCATTATCATTTTCCTTTCTCCCCTTCCCCCCCCGGTCATCATCATCATCATCATCATCATGCTCATCATCAAGATCATAATCTACTACTCATATGATTACCCTTCTCCCCATCATAATCAACTCTCGTCGTTCATAATCATATGATACGCATACACACACACACACACTCGTCCACCTCCTCCTCATCACCACCACCTCCACAACCATTATAATCAGCATCACCATCACTATCCCCGTGCTTCCTCATCATCCTCGTCATCATCCTCATCATCATCTTCGTCAAAACCATCATCGTCATCACCTCCCATATTAATTGGGTACCTCTCTCTCTTCCCCCCTCCCCTTCCCCCCCCTCCCCCCCCCTCCCCCCCGCTCCTTTATTATCTCAACCAATCCTATCCCCCTCCTCCTCCTCCTCCTGCTCCCGATCAGGGGAATTAGCAGCACCGTTAATCATGATGATGATCATCATCATCATGATCATGATCATGATGAGCGAAGTCTTTAGATACCGCTCATCATCATCATCATCATCACTATCCAGTTCCTAGTCTTCGCCTCCGCTGTGTACGCAAGAACCGCCATAACCAGAGCTCGTTTCAGCGCACGCCAGGTGCTGCCACGTGGCATCGCCAGAGCTCACGTCAGATGCTGCCACGAGCTCTCAATCAGAAGGTCATTCTCCATATTGAGTGGTCGTTACCCCTTCGTTGCACTAATTAAGCGCCTCGCTCCCCAACTCGCCAGTCGTGCAAGAGGAGAATGAATCTTCGATGAGAACTTATCTTCTTTGAGAATGAATCTTCTATGAATCTTCCGCGAGAAGACAGAACGAGATGTTAGGTGCGTGTGTGGCGAGTAGTGAGAATGAATATTCCATGAATGTTCGCTGAGAAAAGTACGACCTCATGATGACTACAGGTAGTCGATCCACAGCGGTGCGCTGGGTGTGCGGGAGACAGCTTCTGCCACGTGGGAACAGTGCCCACCCAGGCTAAATGGATATGATGGATAACGCAATGATGATCGATAAGCAAAAAAATGGATAAGGCAATGATTATGGATAAGACAAAATATAGATAAGGCAATATAATGGATAAGAGGGGGGGGAAAAAAAAAAAAAAGGGCAGAGCCTTAGGCATGATCAACAGCGGAATGGACGGATGGATGGATGAATGAAAAAAAAGCGGTGATTAGGTAGGTAGGTATTGAAGGGGATTCCCTTCCTTCCCTCTCTCACTTTTGTCGTCTTTTTCGTTGCGTGTTTCCTTAGCCATTTTTTTATCCCCCCTTGCGTATCCATTATTACCTTATCCATTGCCTTATCAAACAATTGATTGCCTTAAGTACGGTCTCGTTGCACAACCACTCGTCATCTGCCAAGATTTTGAATGCATCTGGACGCAAACAACGTTCAAATGCATTCCGATGTTGACGGATGACTACCGTAGCGGTACAATTCACTTACACCCCCCTTTCTGCATTCTCTGTATGTCAAAGTTGCTTGCTGACAAAAAAAAAAAAAAAAAAAGTTGCTTGCTGACAAGATTTGATCGTTGATATCCATATCCATTTGTCTTTATCCATATCCATTTGTCTTTATCCATATCCATTTGTCTTATCCACATCCATTTGTCTGATCCATATCCATTTGTCTTACCTAATATTTCTCTGAGTGTCAGCGCCACGGTAACGTGGCGCTGACAAGAAATACCGTTGACAACATAACAAAATGGAACGGCAATCAGTTGCACCATAACAGTGGGAAAGTCGAGAATAACGACAAAATGGAGAAGAGGGAGAGGAAGAGAATATAACAGACTTTGAAGAAGGAT